CTGCAACACCTCAGAAACTTCCTTTTGGAGAACGTTTCGCACCATTGTCGCTAAAATTGTAATAGGAGCTGTTTTAGTGTTTATACATTGGTCTACCATTGTCGCCAGGACTGTCTGAATTGTAATAGGAGCTGGTCTAGTGTTTATACATTAGTCTACCATTGCCGCCTCCAGGATTGTCTGAATTGTAATAGGAGCTGGTCTAGTGTTTATACATTAGTCTACTATTGTCACCAAAAATTGTAATAGGAGCTGGTTTAGTGTTTATACATTGGTCTACCATTGCCACCGGGATTGTCTGAATTGTAATAGGGGCTGGTCTAGTGTTTATACATTGGTCTACCATTGCCGCCAGGATTGTCTGAATTGTAATAGGAGCTGGTCTAGTTGTTATACATTGGTCTACCATTGCCACCGCTGGGATTGTCTGATTTGTAATAGGAGCTGGACTAGTGTTTATACATTGGTCTACCATTGTCGCTGGGATTGTCTGAATTGTAATAGGAGCTGGTCTAGTGTTTATACATTGGTCTACCATTGCCACCGGGATTGTCTGAATTGTAATAGGAGCTGTTTTAGTGTTTATACATTGGTCTACCATTGCCACCGGGATTGTCTGAATTGTAATAGGAGCTGGTCTAGTGTTTATACATTGGTCTACCATTGCCACCGGGATTGTCTGAATTGTAATAGGAGCTGTTTTAGTGTTTATACATTGGTCTACCATTGCCACCGGGATTGTCTGAATTGTAATAGGAGCTGGTCTAGTGTTTATACATTGGTCTACCATTGCCACCGGGATTGTCTGAATTGTAATAGGAGCTGTTTTAGTGTTTATACATTGGTCTACCATTGCCGCCAGGATTGTCTGAATTGTAATAGAAGCTGGTCTAGTGTTTATACATTGGTCTACCATTGCCGCCACTGGGATTGTCTGAATTGTAATAGGAGCTGGTCTAGTGTTTATACATTGGTCTACCATTGCCGCCACTGGGATTGTCTGAATTGTAATAGGAGCTGGTCTAGTGTTTATACATTGGTCTACCATTGCCGCCACTGGGATTGTCTGAATTGTAATAGGAGCTGGTCTAGTGTTTATACATTGGTCTACCATTGCCGCCACTGGGATTGTCTGAATTGTAATAGGAGCTGGTCTAGTGTTTATACATTGGTCTACCATTGCCGCCACTGGGATTGTCTGAATTGTAATAGGAGCTGGTCTAGTGTTTATACATTGGTCTACCATTGGTCTTGCCACTGGGATTGTCTGAATTGTAATAGGAGCTGGTCTAGACAGGTCCAAGAGTTGTACCATCGTTTATACATTGGTCTACTATAGCCGATTGTCTGAGGTGGGTGTGGGTCAAGAATCGTCAAAAGACGACGAATGTATAGTTTTAATTGCGATCGTTTAAGATGGTATTGGTGAAATCCAATCGGTAGAGAGACCGGTCGCTAAACAGAGGTTTACACAGCGGGGTATAGAGTGAAGTGGCGGGAACCTACCTCTCTCACGCGCCGTGCCAAAGAGCGATGTCGCAATCATCTAACCGTACTTCGTGCGTCCAGCGTCAAGGTCTGTGCGTGCCCCACGGCTGGCATTCCCTAACGGTCTATCGGAGGTTGGACGTCCCGCCATTTTCCACTGGATTACTCGAGAAAAAAAAAACTATCAAAAGGAGAAATGTGCCTGATTAGGGTAGTAAAATTAAGGAAAAAGCATTTACTGGACTGACAATGGCCATAGTCTGAAACCATTTTCTTCTGGTAAGAGTTCTGAATTTGCCACAGCTAGTGTTATGGCTTTGTCATCTTCCTGATTCAGTTAGAATATAGAGTCCATGTTATATGTCCATGATGCTCTGGAAGAGATTATAGAATATAATTTGTATATACAGTTAAACCTGTTTATAGCGCCCCCTCAAAATAGCGCCTTCCTCTCTATAGCGCCCGATTTTATATACGTAGTACGATGCGATTTACATTAAAAGTGACCTGTCTATAGCACCCCCTCTCTATAGCACCCTATTTTGGTGAGTCCCAAGAGGGGGCGCTATAGACAGGTTTAACTGTATATATATATCAAAAGGAGAAAATAGACGCAGCCGTTTTTAGCGTAATGTCATTCCATAAAAATAAATTGGTAGTATGAAAAATAGAGCGATATAAATAATTTTGAGGATAATATTGTCAAGTGGGAAAGCGCATTGAAATATCAAAGAAACCATCAAGAAACCAACAGCGTTTCGTCCACTTAGAGTGATACCTCACGCCTGAAGACAAGATTCTTCTTGACAAATTCTTCGACATTATCATCAAACATGTTCCGAACATGAACTCCCCAAATGGCAGGGATCTGTCTAGATTCAAGGCGGCTTTAAGCTCCTGATCCGGACGTGGCTACGTCGATTGTATATATCTCTCTTCATTCCTACCATTATTATTACCTTATAACTCCCTTTTGACGAGATTGACGAGATGTCAATAATGTTGTTTAATTGTCAATTGTCACTTAAAGTGATACATCCTGAATAGAGTCAAGTCAAACATTTCCTAGTCAGTGAGGGTTGTGTTAGATTGTACAGAGACATCACTTGAGAGCTCTGATTGTTGACAGCAGCAACAATGTAGTTTATATATCTACTGCCATTATTGTCCTCGACGATCACTGACCTGACGACCAAAGACTCACCCAATTCCGCTAGACTCTGAGGACCTATCTAGGATGGAATGGATCCTCACATCTAGGACTTCCTGATACTGAGGACCTGCAGGATACCACACCACTGGACAGCCACGGACCTGTCTAGATGGAACTGTCGGACATATGGACCACGTGAGTAACAACGTCATGTGGAACATCTCACACAACTGGCCTCAGCCAGTTTCCCATTGGAGCATCCAATGTAAACACTCAGTGAACACACTAGATAGATGTGCTAGCCGAACGTCTAGCCTAACTTGACCTGATTTAACCGAACTTTTGGAGGTAATTTAACAAGTTTCTAATTTTTCATCTCACCACATAATATTTATATCTTTTAAAATTGGATTCCTTACTATATAACATTCTGTGTTTACATTTACATGTAGAGATACTCTATCAGTTCTCTATTTCTGTAAAATATATAAATTTCTCTCTCTCTCTCTTGTGTGTGTTTTTTCAAATCCATAAACACATATCTATTTGTTCTATAGTTAAAAGAGGATATTTCATGTAATATTAATCTATTTAATAAAACAGATAACCAGCAAAGATATCAATACACCTATCCCCCGATTTACACGGTACTTGTTTTACACGTTTTCGCTTTTACACGGTTTTCCAAATAAGTTTTTTTTTTATCGCATTATACAAAATGCTACTGTGATTGAACACATGCGCTGTGTACACATCTCACGAGGAATCCCGAGCTTATGTGCTGACTTGCTGCACACGCACACTGTGTCTGTATTTCTTCGCATAAAAATTTCGCGAAAATTTTTAATTTTCGATTTACACGTTTTACTCAGGAACGTATCTACCGTGTAAATCGGGGGATAGGTGTACTTATAACTATAAACACCACAATACACAGAACGATCCAATGACAGAGATTACAAATGAGATAAAGATATTCTCCCAAAAGATATATTTACTTGAGAACCTAGTTTCCCTTTTAACATAATATTATTACAACATATCTCCCTTTCTTTCATAAAACTTGGATCAACACAGCAATCATATATAAGTTTTCTATAATTAGTATTTATTATTAGATAATAAAAAGGCATATATTGGATTGAATAAAAGATTTATTTGCCAAAATTTCGGTTGGCTGAACGCCAACCTTTATCAATACATTACATTTTTGTATACACAAACTCAGCGCCGCATAGTTGGCAAATAAATACTTTATTCAATCCAATATATGCCTTTTTATTATCTAATGATTTAAGTATGGATTGTTCTATTTTCAAAAGTATTTATTATATGTGAATAAATATATTTAAAATATATCATATTATCACAACAGTTATTTTGTCAGCCATCTTAAAGAAGGTAGGTATATATAAATGATAGAAAATCCAAGGTAGAAGCCATTTGTTTGATAAATTAATTCCATGTTTCTTAAGAAGGTAATTTTATAACAAAAATCACTTTTGAAAAGTCCCTGGACACTATTTTTCCGTTTATCATTACTCTTCACAATTCACCCTTTCATACCTC